ACAGCTGGCGAGAGCGCGGGCAGCTCAAGGCCTCCAGCTCAGCACACCTTACCAAGCCATGCCTACAAAATGACTTAAGGGCATATGCACATAAGGGAAGAAAACAAACTGCTTAGGCCCTGATATCCAGCTTCTTAATCAAGATCTCTTACACGGTTTTCAGATCTATTAATGAAAAGCTTAGTGAAGCTAAGGCAAATTAAACACATTCTTCCTATTTTTTGTCCCATTTCCTATCAGGCCATGGGAGCATCATAGGGATTGCACAGCCGGTCCGGAGGCTACGCTTCTCCTCACCTCCCTCCAGTCACACAACAGTCAGGGAAGGAGAAATAATCACAAGTGACCAAGAATCAGCAAACCACAGGGGAACGCGGACATTGTGGCTTTCCACTGTGCAGCCCGGCCTTGCTCAGGGTGACTGCCAGGTCTCAGGGGTCCTCCTCCCCCACACTCACCCCCTGGGCCCCTGGGCTCCGAGCCAGGCGGCCCTCCAGACACCTCCAGACACCGGGCAAAGGGCGGCAGTCTCTCTGCAGACCCCGCCCGCTCTGTTCCTCACCCTCTTTCTGCACACTGGTTTCTTCTCGCTCAGTTTTATTTGCCTGTTTAAATTTCTGTCACATCACGAAGACCGAACTTCTCATGGACCGAGGAGGCCACGTTCCCGGCAGCCCTTGTGTGACTTGTACGATGCCAGGTAGAGACCTGAGTAACCTGAGCTGACTCCCGCAAGGTTCCCAAGGCCGGCCTGGGTCCACCAAAATAAGCAGAGCACCGCGGGGGCCCAGGCGGTGCTCTCATGCCAACATGCACTTCCCGGGGGCTTCACAGTGCACCAGGTGAGGACGCAGCATAGGACGGCGCACTGTCGCACAGCCCCGGCCCGCACCACAGTCCACACTGCCATCAGGCCCGGAAAGCAATGAGCCAGTCCCCCAGTGCTGCTCTGATGCGTTACCTAGAGGGAACCAGCTTCACCTGGAAGCCACTCCCCTCGAGTTCCAAACTAAATGCTCAGGCCTGGGGTTTCCAAGGGACAGACAGCAGTGCAGCCCAAGAGGCAACCACTGACAACAATGTCACATAGAAAGACTTGGTGGAAATAAAGTCAGGGCCCCAGCACTCTGGAGGCTGTGGCAGGAGGATACTAAGTTTGAGCCCAGCCTAGGCAATTTGGCAATTTAGGGAGACCATGACTCAAAATATAAAATTAAAGATAAAAGAGCTGGGGATGTAGCTTAGTGTGAAGGCCTGGGATTCAATCAATCCTCAGTATTAAAAAAAAATTTTTTGTTTTTAAAGTGTCTGCTGCTGGGTGTGGGGGCACATGCCTGTAATCTCAGCTACTCAAGAGGAGGATCACAAGTTCAAGCCCAACTTAGGCAAGTTAGTGAGATCAATCTCAAAAAATTTCTTTAAAATAAATAGGGCAGGGGATATAGCTCAGGGCTCCCTGGATATGATCCCCAGTACTACAACAACAACCAAACAAAATGGCTATTATCACACCCAGAAAATCCAAAGATCTAAAACCCATCATGCCAGGTGTGGTGGTGCACAGCTGCAATCCCAGTGCTAAGAAGCTGAGGCAAGAGGAGCATCGTGAGTTTGAGGCCAGCCTGAACCACACATGGAGATCCTATCTCAAAAAACAAAATAAATAATCTTCCTTAGGATCAAACAGTAATTTTCCACCCAAAACCAGGACTGTTTGGTTTCCTTAGGATGGAAGTGAACACTTTTTCTTATCTACTATTGAGAAATATGTATCGTGTAAAAACAAGAATACATATTTAGTTTCAAAAGAATAAAATCAACACCTGGGAACCACCACTCACACTAAGAGATAACGTGACCTTAGCAATCATGAGCCCTCTCTTCATCGTATCAACCTCCTTCCCCTAAAAGAGAACCATTCTCCTCGGATTTCAGGGTTCATTGTTCCCATCTGTTTTTAGAATTTGTTTTGTTTTACTTGGAGCAGGGACTTACTATGTTACCCTGGCTGGTCCTTACTTTTGGAGTTCAAGCAATTTTCTTGCCTCAGCCTCCCAAGTAGTTAGACCTACAGGTCCATGCCACTGTGGCCAGCTATCTCACACATTTTTTACAGTTTTATCACCTATGAAGATATCCATTTAAAATGTATTGTTTAGTTCTGCATTTTAATTAATTTTTTTGAGACATGGTCTCACTATGTAGTTCAGGCTGGCCTTGAATTCACTCTGTAGGCTAAACTGGCCTTGGACTTGTGGCAATCCTCCTGCCTCAGCCTCCTGAGTGCCGGAGTATGCTACCACGCCCGGCTACATTTTTAAACTTTATATAATGGCATCATACTATATATATTTTTCTACAACCTGCTTCACTTGCTCAACATTATGCTTCTGAGATTCTGCCATGCTGATACACCTGTCTTTCCGTCTTCTGTAGGACACAATTCCACTGTAGGGGCACAGGACAAGCTAAAGAAGTAACTCTAAAGTCGGCCAGTCCCTCCGACCGTGCCTGAACGCAGGCTGTCCGCAAACAATGTGTGAACGGTGCCGCAATCCCACTCTGGCTTCCGCGAGGCGGAGCAGATGGGGAAACAGTTAGAGATGCTTCCCTGACTGCTCTTCAGGAGCATGGCCAGTATCTCACCTCAGCACGGAGGCCTGAGGCCTTGCTATAGCAAACAGAACCTTGGGCAGACGCAGCCCTCAGCACAAACCCATCCCAGTTCTAGCTCCACAGCTCCACAAGCAGGAAAGGAGGAAGGGAGGGGCCACTTTGGCCACAGTCCTCACCTTCAAGGGCACAACAACCCCTTCGTTCGATCACAGTGGACAGCACCCAGGTCCAAGAAAAACCTACCCTTCGGACAGCAAAAGCTAAATAGTCTAGGAGGCAGCAAGCCAAAGCCCACCGCTCTGTCCCAGGAAGCAAGGACAGTGAGGACCGCCTTTGAGTCTTGAATGTTCGACTCACCACCTCCCATCACGGATCTGAAAAATGCATCAGCTGTACCTCACTCTTCAGGTTTTGGGGTTTGCAGGAAGAGATGCTGCACACATACAATAGTCCAGACATGAGGAAAAACCACTGCCACCTTCACTAAGTCATTCCCAGAATGGTTGTGAGACCCTCAGATCAACTCAGTTCATTCCTGTAATAACCTTAGGAAGCAAGTAATGTCTCCTTTCTACACTTCAGGAAACTGGGTCCCTGAGAGCTTTAGTGACTTCTCCAGTATCACGCAGCAAGTAAATGACAGGACAGGCTTTGATCCGTCCTGATTCCAAAGCCCTACACTCTTATCCAGCACAGCAGCTGCGGCAGCACGTGTGCAGGTGACCTTCACACACACAAGGTGCTGCCTTAGGTTTCACTGAATGGCAGCCAGGTCCGTGTGAACGCAGGACAAACGCCTACACAGCAGCACCTGAGAACACAGAGCTCTGTGATCAGGCACTGAAAGTCTACCATTTTCCGCTGAGGTCTGGCTGCTGTTTTAAGAGGAGCAATCTGCACATGGAGGACAACAAAGAAGGGTTATCAGGATTTAGGAATTTCAAGGTTCATCAACTGGAGAAATTCAGAGTCTAATAAACAGGTTGAGCTGGGAACGGTGGCGCACACCTGTAATCCCAGCACTTGGGAGGCTGAAGCAGGAGGATGCTGTGAGTTCAAGACCAGCCTGGGCTACATGGTGAGCTCCAGGTCAGTCTCAACTACATAGTGAGACCCTGTCTCAAAAAATAAAAAAAAAACGAAAAAAACCAGGTTGAGAGTTTAGGTCCAAACTTGTCAAGAGCTGCCTTCCAGCTCCTGTCCAAGTCCAGCGAAAAGACCAAGATAGAGGTTACTGAACACCAAAGCTCAGCAGATGTCCCTTTCCCCCAGCTGGTCCCCACTGTTCCCTCAGTCTGGACCATGCCTTTGCTGACACAGGATGAGTCAGTCACACCACCGGTCCCAGTCCCGCACATCTGACACTGCATCCTATCTTGTGAGCTATCTGGCAAGTCGTGGAAAATACAACTGGTCTGCAGGTACCAGGTGACACCTCTGCAGAGACTCGGAGAAAGGACAGCCGGGAAATGGACCTGAGGTCCACCCTCTCTGATCCCGCTAGCTCCCAGTCCACTACAACCTAGTGAAGCCACGCAACAGCCAAATCTGGAGAAGCCGACAGCTGACCTTGGAGGGACCTGTCAAGAAGCTGCAGGCACTGCCTGAAATCAAGCCCCACTGTTCAGAGAATTACCCCTCACTCCCTAGGATTTGTGCGAGGGGATTTTTACCAGTTACCCTTTCTTGGTAGGTGATAAATACGTATGAACATATGCATAGGATTATTTTCCTTAAAATGTTTGGGCATTCTGAACACTGTAATAAGCATTAAACGAAGAAGCAATCCCTTTCCTCATCTGAGTCCAACACACTTAAAGCTATTCTCCTGCAGGGATTCAGCTGCTTTGCCTTTAACATGAGTTGTACCATTAATATAGGTGTAAGATGGGAACTGCAAGCAATAATATGACATCACTTGTGATATGCATACCAAGCAAATTATAACTCAGACTGTAAGTGTAGAAGGTTTAATCCAGCACTCCAAAGGGAACCATGAACCACAACCAATTGTAGAAATGTAATCAGAAACTTTCACATCCAAAGAACTATGCTGTGAGCACTTCTATGTGTACCCTAGAAGGGTAACGTAGCCACCTCAGCCCTTTATGTATAAAAAAGCGGTCAGGTTCTCTGATGAGCAGGTGCTTTTATCTAAACAACCAGCCTACCCAGCCCCAATCTGTACCAAGAAACCACTGAGCCTTCTAAGAACCCTGAGTTCTACAGTCATCTCTGGAACCCCTTCGCATATTCTATAAGTTGTAAGATCTCTGAAATTTGCAGTCGTTTCTGACGTCATAAATTTCATGACAGTGCTTAGCCTGATTTCAGTAGTTTTGAGCATGTCCCCAGCTCCTCCTCATCAACAAGAGGCGTCGTACCTGGATCTCCCACCAAAGCAGTTTGTGCTGGTGGGTGGGTGCCGGTTCTCGGAAGCTATGCTTGACCCGCTGGACTCTCTCGAAGGCAGCTGTGATCCTAGAAGGGGGATCAATCAGAAGAAAGGGCAGAAATGTTGAGAAACTCAGCCCTTATTTGAGATTTGGATACCAGGCCCAGAGCTCTGCGTGTTGGGATCACCCGCCAGGACGGGGTATGGACTTCCCACCAGCTGCAGACACTGGCACGAGAAGGAATAAGGACAATCGCGTGAGATCTGATTCACACCATGACCCAGGAAACCAGTTCTCTCCTTCAAGACACCCAAGAACATCCACGGCACTAACAAGAAGACTGCCTCATACATCATGTGAACTTGGGCCTCACGAGGGTAAAATCAGATGCTAACATGCGAAGTGGGGACGTTACTCATGGCGCAACTAGACAGCTCTTTCTTTTTTCTTTTTATTGAGTTTATTGGTCCATTTTAGGGATACAGTACAGTTATATTCATCATTGGGATCCTGTACCTTTACATGACAGGTCTTGGTTCTCATTTTTCCCCCTCGTCCCTGCCCTCCTTTCACCCCCTCTTCTCCTCCCCATTTATAAACACTTTATTTCCATTTTTTCATTTTCTCGTATTTTTTTCTTTTCCCTATTACCTTTCCCCTACCCTTCTCACTTTCCCTACACCTTTCCCTTTTCTT